CCTCCAGACTGGAGACGGTCCACATGTCTGTCCACAAGTGAGTGCACAAACACTCTCCCTCCAGACTGGAGACTGTCCACATGTCTGTCCACAAGTCAGTGCACGAACACTCACCCTCCAAACTGGAAACTGCCCACATGTCTATCAACAAGTGAGTGGATAAACAATCTGCACCCCTGCAGAACACCACCCAGAATCAAAATTATTCAATAAATAAAAGCCTAAATGATCCATGAACACAAAATAATTACAACGAGTACTAGAAGTCAGGAAAGAAAACAACACCAAAAGGAATACTGTGCGGTTCTATTCCATAAAACTCTGGGATATGCAAGCTGATGTAAGGTGACAGAAACAGATCCAAGGTCACCTGCATCCTGAAGAGCGGTGCTAGGAAGGGCGAGAGGAAGGGGTGACAAAGGGACACAGGAGACTTTGCAGGGTGTTAGGCTTTGAGTAGTCCCCTACAGCAGATGTAGCAGCAAGTCTGCAGTCACTACTGTTGGGAAGGCAGAGGCAGAAGGTTCGTTGGGCAACACAGCAGGACCCCATCTCCAAAGAACAAAAGGTGAAGTGAGTGCAGCCCCAGAATTTACTCATTGGAAACTTAACTTCTGATGCAGCGTCTCTCCATCTGTGGGCTGTGAGCGACCCCTTCGGGGTTAATTGGCCCTTTCACAGAGGTTGTCGAAGACCACCCTCCATATCAGATATTTACAGCACAATTTGTAACAGCAGCAAAACTACAGTGCCGAAGCAGCAATGAAAATATTTATGGTTGGGGGGTCATGACAACACGCGGAACCATATTAAAGGGAAGGTTGAGAACCACTTCTCTAACACTGGGTGCTACATAGGCTGCATAGGAGAGGTACAGGAGAGATTCACCCTCAAGAATAAATTAATTCAGGGGGCTGGAGAGATGGCTCAGCGGTTAAGAGCATTGCTCTTCCAAAGGTCGTGAGTTCAATTCCCAGCAACCACATGGTGGCTCACAACCATCCGAAATGAGGTATGGTGCCCTCTTCAGGCATACATGCAGAAAGAATATTGTATTCATAATAAATAAATAAATATTTTTAAAAAAAGAATAAATTAATTCTAAATAAAAAGGGGCTTAAGCCTATGAGGTCCTTCTGCTGCTCTCTCTTCCCCCTTCACCCAGGCTGAAAGCAAGAGATCTCTGCTCTTCACAATTAGCAACGTCAGGACTCTGAGAGTGGCACGGAGTGAACACAGGAGGCCAGGGGATGCTCAGTAACTGCAGTCTAGCCATTCCTCTTAAGGAAACTGCATTCAAAAAAATGAGATACACAATATCTTAGAGTGAATTAACTCAGTCTCTAGATTAGATATACCAAATTGACTGGCAAATAAAATACTCAGCAAGTGAGCATTCCTACTTCATTCCATTCCTGCTCCAAGATGCTAAACAGACATGATGCCTGTCTTCACTTTAAATGGTGGTTTCATAGACATAGAGAGAGGATAGACAGACAAATGACAGGTAAATGATACACAGATAAATAGATGAATAAATAGATAATAGCTAGATATTATTAACAGCTAAATATTGATTCAAAAATGATAAGCAGGTAGATAGATAAATGATACAAGGATCATATCATAAATTAGATGATAGTAGATAGATTGATGAATAATTTATAGATAGGTGGTAAACCGATAAAGAGTATAATTGGGCATGTCAATGATAGACTGATGACAGATATGATCGATAGATGATATCTAGATGATAGATATGTGTAGAGTTTATCACATGTAGTAAGTGTAATATAGCTATTTTCTAAAAGAATGCAGCAGACATTCCGTTAGGTATGTTTAGAAGCAGTAAGTGGATGGAAACTACAGGACGTGCTAAGGAAGCAGAACCCTAGGGATGAATGGGAAACATTATTCCAGCTCCCCAAGATCATTTTTTCACATAAAAATGGAGGGCGAAAGGAAGGTCCCTTAGGATAACTTTACAGGGCCTTTCAACTGAGGAAGAAGCATCTGAACAGCTCTAAATGAACTCATCCTAGAAATGTGGTCTAATTTCTTATTTGATATCATCTATATTTATAAACATACTTAACCCAATAATTCAATTTATCTTTTTTTTAGGAAATGGCCACAGCCTCAAGTCAGTGAGTTAGGACTCCTCTGTCCTTCATCCCTCAGCTTCCGGCTGAGACAGGAAGTCACCATCTCCATCTCACTCCTCTCTCTTGTGCGTTCATTAGAAATTCTAGTTCCATACATCACAGTTTCAGCCTCAGTGCATGCAAATAGCCATGTCTTTCATAAGCAGCTCACAGGAGTTCTCTGCAATGATTCTTTTTTGTCCAAAGCACAGTCTTGAACCACATAGAAGCACAGCGCACACTTGTGTTTAGATAAGGTTATCCCCGTGACTCACCTCATTTCCACCAACTGCCTTGGTTAAAATCACAGCAGAAGACACAGGGGGAGGCATGCAACCTACTGTCTGCAAACTGAAAAATAAAAGAAAATCCAATTGTAAATAGTTCCTCATTTCCAGTTATAAATCAAAGATAACAGCGTTCGTCGGCATACTCTCCGTGTTGAGCTGAGACACTACAGGACAACACGGATTAGAAGATACGGCAAATGTGTGGGCCCTGAGAGCTCCTAACATTATACAGGCTTAGATGGTTTTATTTTTTTAACTTATTTAAACTTTGAAGGGCTGGGGTTTAGTTCAACTGGCAGAGTGCTTGTTTAACATGCACAGTGATCTGGGCGTCATCCTTTGCACACATCAAATACGGCAGGTCTATGATCCATCCCAGCACTGCACCCCAGCTACACACACACACACACACACACACACACACACACACACAAAACTTTGATTACGGAGTTCAAAAAACAAGCAGGCTATAGTAAGTGGAATCTCTGAACAATAATTAAAATGGATACTATAATCTTGGGCTATTGCCATAGATCTCTTCCCGTGGAACTAGTACAGCGGTGCACACCAGTGTTCACAGCTCAGAGGAAGGCGGGACAGAAGGAACATGAACTCAAAGACAATATAGGCAACACAAAGAACCTCTGTCCCGAAAGAAAGTCTTCCTTGTGCTTTTTATAGAAGATCATTTGATAACAAATGATGCCTAAAGATGACATCTAATGCTCAAAAATATATGATAAAACAGAAGTTTACACTTTACAATTCTCAGCCTTCATCAAATAAACAACATTCTCATGTTGTAAAGTTATTTTGGAGGCAGAAATACTGTCTGACACTTCTTGAATTCAGACACCACAGTTAATTTCCATAGCTACTTTAAATGTTTTTATTAAATAACACTCATATGTCCATGGTCATGATAGTAAGTCTATTCTCTCAGTTAGTGTAGAAAATAAGACGCATGTCAGGAAAGCCAAACTACGGGCAGCAAATCTAAGGACTAAAACTGAAGAACATTCCTCGGTATTTGAACAGAATATGGCCTCACCAGAAGGAAAGTTCATCAAGGACACAGGACACAAACACAGTCAGGAGAAGCCAGCCTGGGCAACATACTGAGGCCTGTCACTCAAAATAAAGTAAGAACAGGGATCTGGGAAGATTTGTTTTGGTTTTTTGTTTGTTTGATTGGTGGGCTGGTGTTCTGAGACCTGATCTGGCTTGAACTCACCATGTAACTGAAGATAGCCCGAACCTGAAATTCCCACTCTTCCTGCTGTACCTAGCCTCCCTAGTGCTGTGCCAGCAGAACATTTCAAGCTGATATTAACCCTTATTACTAATGATAACCCTGAGAAATACAACAGTACTTCAGAAGAAATTTGTTCAATTTCTAGGAGGTCAGTTTTTTTTTTCATTCATCATGAAAGCGAGTTTTTACCTCATGATCTACTTTGAACTTCTGGAGTAGAGTAGGAACTGTTCACCAAAACCAAGGTTCCATCCTTCACTCCTGAGTGGTTCTAACCCGACTCTGCTACCCACATTTACCCTACCATGATTCTGAGGTAGAACCTGTTCTCCTTCCAACTAACTCGACTGACTAGTTTCTACTGTCACCTTGACACAACCTTGGAATAAGGAACCTCAGTCAAGGGAATGCCTCAATACGCTTGGCCAATAGCATGGTCTGTGAGGCATTTTCTTGATTACTACACGATATAGGCAAACCTAACACTCTGTGGGCTTGGGTTGTTTAAGAAAGGTAAGGCACAGAGAGCAAGCCAGTAAGCAATATAGCAACATTTTTCCATGGCCTCTGCTTCAGTGCCTGCCTCCAGGCTCCTGCGTTGAGCTTCTGCTTTGATTTCCCGTACTAAAGAATTCTTACCTGAAGTATAATTAAATGAACCCTTCCAATGCTGCTACTGGCCATGGACCTTGTCACAGCAACCGAAGAGCAACCCAGAACATAAACATGCTAGGGAGGCCAAGGGAGACCAAAAGGAGCTGAGAAGAGGTTACTCTAGATGAGGGAGAGCAAGTGTGGGTCCCTCCGACATCCTGGCGGGGTCGCACGACCTATTCTACCTCGTCACAGATGACAGGTGCTGCTCTCCTCATAAAACATCAGGTGCCATCAGAACGCTCTTTCTGAGGACCACATTTTTGTAAGCGGTCTCTTATCTACAGCCTTAAGCCCCAGATTCTTCAGCCCGATACTAAAAGACTCTGCTGAGATGACCCTAAAGAAATCTTATGTCTCTCACTAATGCCTCATTTTGTAGCCCTCTACTCTATGCAGACACAAATCTTGTTGAGCACCATTTTTCATATAAATATAGAGATAGATAGATAGATAGATAGATAGATAGATAGACATAACCCACACATATAGTATATATATGAATACATATATATATATATATATTGCATTATTCAATTGGATTGGAAGTTCCCTGAAGAAACATAAAAACATCTTCTTACGCGCTGCATGCCCCACACACAGTGGATGCTCAGTATTTCCTGACTCGTAGTACACAGAATTACATCACTGCTCTTATTTATGTGACATTTTACCTCTCCTAGTGAGAGGCAGTGCTCCTTCTCTTAAGAGCAGTAAGGTGAAAAGTACATTCCTGATCTCCCTTCCTACTTCTAGGTCACTGGTGTCCCCGAGCTCAGTCAATCAAGTTGCCATTCACCCTGTGGCTCAACCCTGAAGCCTTCATCTCCTGGTGACGACCACAGCCTCCCAAGACAGAGGTCACTGACACTCAAAGTTCCAGTCAGTCCCACCACACCCATCCCTCCACCGCGCTTCCACATTTCACTAGCCTCCACACTTGTTCCCCCGGTTTCGTCTCAAGCCCCCTACTATCCACATCACGACCAAGAGTCCCACACAAGCAGGCCTCGCATCCCGTGCCTCCCTCACTGCAGCCCGCGCAGCAGCTTCCTGCAGCATCCAGGTAAGCCCTCAACACAGTGCTCTCCAAATTCTGCCGCCCTTCTGCCACATGACCAGGACGTGCCCACTGGCCTGCTTTACTGAACCTGTCTACAAACTCCCCAGGCTTCTTTCCGCAGGACGGCCTTTGTACATTGCTTCCTTTCTGAAGAATATTCTCCCCAAGAACTCTGGGACGAGTCAGAGCTCCTCAAAAGCCTAGTCGCCCAAGCCCACTGCACCCCTTTCCCTCTGACGTCACTCGTTTTCATTGCGTCCACCCTACTGCCTGTTGACGTCTACTCTGAGTATCTATCACCTCTGGGCAGTTCACCAGCACATGACCACTTCGTCTGTTACACTTTCTCCAACTTCAGAAACAATCCCGGCACACAGTAGGGCTAAAGGGATAACAAAAAAATCATGCCATGGATGGAAAGATTTGATACAGTCGACGTCATCATTAAGTATGTGGTTAAGGCGTGACTATCCTCAGTTTATACCGAGAAAAGCAGGTCTAAACTATGAGATAATTTTACTGAAAGTCATAGAGTGTGTCAGGGGTAGGCTCAGAGGACAACCTCTGAGCTCTGGGGTCGGTGATTTAGCAGCTATATAACATGATGCTCAAGTGAGGTTAGTTTTAAACTATTCTAATTAATTTATCAATTGTTAAGTTCTTTTCATTAAACATAGTAACATTTGTCATGAAAGAAAAGATTCTAATGAATCTACTGCTAAGTTAACTATAACAACAACATAAAACAGACTAAGTAAAAAATTAAACATCTGTGGCACACATATCCTTTTATTATACATTTTAAAAATGGGCATTGCACTCGGCACAGTAGTCCATGCTTGGAGAGATACAGATGGCCAAGGTAAGGCACCAGCTGACAGCCTACATTCCCATGCAGACTGATCTGGAGTCCTCCAGTATCTTCCGATGCTCACTCAGTGAAGTGGCGGGGTGCATGTGTTTGTGCGGGCCCAGAGAGCGTAGGAGGACAGCAGCTACAACACTCTCTATCTCCACGTTATTCCCTTGAGACTGGAACTGAACCCGGAACTAAGCTGGTGGCCAGCAAGTCTATAAAACCTCCTGTCTCCAAAGACCTGGGGCACTAGGCATGCTCAATTCCTCAACACTGAGCCAGCCCCCTAGGTCCTCTCCTGCTCACTTTATACACCCAGAAAGTGTACATTCTGGGACCTTAAAATAGGCACAGGGATCTACTTTAAGATTTTGTTAAACAATTCCTTCCTGAACCTCTGGTGAAACGCTATTGTTTTAACAGATAGTGTTTATTTTTTCTAATATATTTATTATTATGTGCATTGGTGTTTTGTCTGTGTGATGGTGTCAAATTTTGAAGTTACAGACAGTTGTTAGCTGCCGTGTGGATGCTGGGAATTGAACCCAGGTCCTCTGGAAGAGCAGTCAGTGCTCTCAACCCCTGAGCCATCTCTCCCAGACAGTATCTAAAAGTGGTCTCCTTTCCTTATAACACACAAGCCCTTTTGTTTGCAGTTGCCATGGAAACAATAATGTTACTAGAGCTGCCCCATTAAAAGAATACCCATCAAGAGGTTTAAACATACCCTTTTAAAAGCCATTCATTGATGGATGTGACCGATAAAAGCTGCAGAAAGAGCCATATTGTTGCTGGGAAGAAGGCTAGTGTGAAAGTCTGGATGAAAAGATGCAGTTTCAAATGCACCAATGCACTGGTCAGCTCCTGCAGAGAAAAGGACACAGGGCAAAGGTAAGAAAGGAAATTCCACGGAGAGCTCTAGCAAAGCGGCGTCACAGGCCTTAGCGTTCAATGCTAAATTGTTTCAAATCTTAGAGAGAGGAAGCATAATGCTAATTACAAAATAGTTTCATATAAAATCTCTGCGCTATCTAATTTCCTGCAAATACATAATATGCTCTAAAAATTCAGATCTGCACATTTCTGCACAGTGCAGTAAAAGCAAACCAGCATTAGAGTGGTATAAATTCAAAGACTGCTGATGATATAAATAAAACATGTTTGCCTACATTAAAAAAATTACCTTAAACTGGGCAGTGATGGCATATACCTTTAATTCCAGTACTCTGGAGGCAGAGGCAAGCAGATCTCTAAATTCAATGCCAGCCTGGTCCACAGAATGAGTTCCAGGACAGCCAGGGATACACAGAGAAACCCTGTCTTGAAAAAATACAAAAAACAAAATATCTTAAAAATATTCATAAGACTTATCACACTTTAGTCGAATATACTAATCTCTATTCGTTGTATGAAATTTATCAGGCTTTGATTTGGGAAGATATCACCAAACCTACAAATAATAATTTCTAAACTATATTCTCTTAGAAAACAGTTTATAAGTCCATCCCCTAGTGACCACTCACTGCAGTTCCTTGTTAACAGCTTTTTGTGAACTAGCCACATGCCTGGAGCTAGGATAACCTGCGGACTCTGGTATCTCACTGAACTCCCACAGCAGCCCCCTTAGGACAGTATGATGGCAGCAGGGTAGGAACACCTGGCGGCACTGCTGAGGACACTAAGACTGAGACCACCCACACAGTGAGGACCTGATCAAGTCCCTTCCTGGCACACTACCAACCAAATCCAGGTCTGCTCCTACCATGGTATCACAAGCTGTCCCAGGAGGGATAAGAAATGCACACTCAAGATTGAGCACTTTCAGAGAGGAATAGCCATAGACAGAAAGGCACGTTAGGATGCAGGTATAGCTCAGTTGGAGAAGTGCTTGCCTAGCATGCATAAGCACTAAGTTTGATTCCCAGAACCACATAAACCAGGTACAATGGAACACACCTGTAATTCTAATACCTGAGAAGCAGAGAAAGAAAAATCTTAAGTTCCTGGAACGAGCTCTTATAGATCAGGCTGGCCTAGAATTCACAGAGATCTGCCTACCTCTGCCTCTAGGAATAAAGGCGTGTGCCACCACCGCCCAGCTAGATGGTAAATTCAATGCCATTTTCAGTTACTTAGTGAATTTGAGATTAACCTGGGCTATATGAGACCCTGTCATAGAACAAAACAAAGCTACATATTAAACATGCTATGAATCGCACAGCCAGAAAACACAGAATAGTTAATGCTGCAATACAAATAGGTGGTGGCACACGCCTTTAATTCCAGCACTCACTCGGGAGGCAGAGGCAAGCGGATCTCTATGAGTTCGAGGCCAGCCTGGTCTACAAGAGCTAGTTCCAGGACAGGCTCCAAAGCTATAGAGAAACCTTGTCTCGAAAAACCAGTGTGTGTGTGTGTGTGTGTGTGTGTGTGTGTGTGTGTGTGTGTGTATACACACAAACATATGCATCTATATTTGCTTTATATGGTTATTCTGCTGAAATCCAACACATTTAGGAAACAGTAGGATCAGATGTGGTGGCACACACTTTTAATCCCTTAAAGGAAATTAAATACTTAGAAGGCAGAAACAGGACGATCTCTGTGAGTTTGAAGCCACCCTGATCAACATAGTGAGTTCCAGACTAGCTAGAACTACATAGTGGGACCCTGCCTCAAAAAATAAACAAGGGCTGGAGAGATGGTTCAGTGGTTAAGAGCACTGGCTGTTCTTCCAGAGGACCTGAGTTCAATTCCCAGCAACCACATGGCGGCTCACAATCATCCATAATGAGATCTGGTGCCCTCTTCTGCCCTGCAGGTATACATGCAGACAGAGAGCACTGTGTACATAATAAATAAATAAATAAATCTTTAAAAAAAATAAACAAATGAATAAAAAGAAAAATGGTAGAAAAGGCATAGTCTTTTTAAAAGTCAAACAACAAACTCAAACAAACAATAGGAAGAAAAAAAAAGCAATGGCCAGGGAGATGGCTCACCAGGTAAAGATATTTGCTGTACATGCCTGGGGTTTTGGATTTGATCCCTAGGATCACGGTGGAAAGACAGAATCAACTTCCAAAGCTGTCCTGACATCCATAAGCACACACACATGCACCCCCAACACACAACAGAAATCACTCTTAAGACAAAGGGTTGCAAGCAATCACACACTCACCAGTTTTAACGTGCACATTTCAAAACGTACAACAGCCCCTCAGCCTCAGAGCCACAGTCACCTGATCATCTGTAACAGCAGGCTGGCGCAGACTCATCTGCTCTCCCATTAGCGCCCACCTCTGTCTCCCCACGAGGAGTCACACCAATTCCTCTTTGGTCCAAGATGTCTCTAAAATTATGGAATGTTCTGATAATCTGGGACCATCAGGCCCATTAGAACCACACTAGGTCCTTTGACGGACCCATAAGAAAACGACACTCGTAAAGTGAATTGGAATCTTCAAGTTACATCCTTAAGAAATCTGACACCAGCCGGGCATGGTGACACACACCTTTAATCCCAGCACTTGGGAGGCAGAAGCAGGTGGATCTTTGTGAGTTCGAGGTCAGCCTGCTCTACAAGAGCTACTCCAGAACACACCAAAGCTACAGAGAAACCTTGTCTCAAAATACAAAAAATACTATATCAAAGCTGAGTAGGACAAACTAAAATGCTTTCAAATAAACTCAAGTTACTAATTTACTATCTCCAATGAACAAAAATGCACTATTCCATGACCAACTAAGAAAATAATAACCATAAAAAATCATAGATCCAGTTAAAATTAATTTAGAATTATTAAGTAACAAATAAATTACAAAACTGTTACTTCCCACTTCCTAACTAACTGTTGGACTGACCCTGAAGCAGCAGCCTTAGAGATGGCCTAGCATTATTCCCTGATGTAATCTAAGTTAAATGGATTTTGAAAATGACTGACTGTTGTACTGGTTTGAAAAGGGTCTTTGATGGAGGGAATGGCTTTGATGGCCACTCATATACCACAATAAAATACAGGATCAAAGCAATTCATCATTACATCCAAATTAGCTGGGTAACTCTGAAGCTTCCTAGGTGCTGACAGAAGTTGGTCCTTAGAGGAATGCTGATAGCTGTGACATTCTTCCTTCATCAACTCTTGCAACCCACAACGTTGGCTGCTTTACAGAATAACATGAAATAAGAAGCTAAGGAGTAAGAGACGTGAAGTCTCTTGCCAGATATCCCATGGCATAAATAACAGCTGTCGCCGTTAAATAGGTACCAGGGGACGCAGTTACAGCCATGTCCCAAGCAGAGGACTTGGGTAATGCAGCTGCTCCACAAAGCTTAGCCAAGGCCAGCAGGAAGACCTCAAGTCATATCTGACCTGCACTCGTCATGGCAAACACCATTCTGCAACACGTGCCCACATTTAGCCCAACTGTAGAACTCAGGTGTTCAAAGAGGAAGCCTACTCCCTCTAACAATGGTTACCTCGAATCAACAACATTTCTAATGGACCTATAGTTAGCAGAACAGGAAAACAATCCTGCATTAGCTATTTTCAGAAAGGCAATCCATCAATGAGGATATTTAGAATTGCTGGAATGTAATTCAGTTATAAATACTACACACTAACACTATGTGTATCAAAAATACCCCCAATGAGATTTACAATAGCCTAATAACTACTGAATGAAAAAAAATTAACAAAATTGGTCCTCCATGTTGTTAACAGGGTGACCTAAGAAAGAGGTAACTGACTTTAGTCTGTCTGAGTTTGCTTTCTATTGCTATGATAAATACTGTGAGCAAGGCAACATGGGAAGGAAAAGGTTACTTCATCCTATGCGGCCACGTTACAGGCCATCATGAGGGAATTTAGGGTGGGAGCTCAACCAGGAACCGGCAGCAGGAACTGAGCAGAGACCAGTGCTGCTTACTGGCTTGCTCCCCAAGGCCTGCTCGGCCTGCTTTCTTACATCATCCATGTAGAGGTGGCACCACCCACAGTGGGTGGGCCTTCCCATATTAATCACTAATCAAGAAAATGCCCCCACCAGACTTTCCTACAAGCAGCCCGATGGAAATACTCCCCAAAATATGTTCCCTCTTCCGAGGTGACTCTAGTTTTGTGTCAAGTCGACAAAAAGTAGCCAGCACAATCATCACTCAGATCACATCAAAATCCTACCGTGTGACCTAGCTTATGATCCTTCGCATATACCCAGAGGATACATATTCTACTGTAGAAATACTTGCAAATCTATATCCTAGACACAATATTTATTTATATATCCTAGCTGCTCTGACAATAGCTAAAGAATGGAATGCACCTAGATGTCCATCAGCTGATGACTACCTAATGAAAGTATGGTATAAGTACAATAAAATTTTATTCAGTTGTAAAAAATAAAATAAAATCACTAAATTTACGGAAAAAATGGATGGAAGTGGAAAACAATTACATTAAGGTAAATCAACCCGGAAAGAGAAAGTCTGTACAACCTCTCTCTCGCACGTGCATCCTAGCTTCAGAGCGTAGTTTGTGTGTTTCATGTGAGTACTCGTTGAGGTCAGGCATCAGAAAGGGCAACAGTCCTGCATGGAAGGGGGAGAGCAGAACACATGCGATGTGAAAGAAGGGGTTACTGGGGATGACGGCTTAAAGCAGGGGTAGAAATGGGGGAATGGAAGCAAAGGACGGTATGGGGGCTGGGGAGATGGTTCAGCAGGTAGAATAGTGGCTATTCTTCTAGAGGACCCAGGTTCAGTTCCCAGCACCATATGGTGGCTCACAACCATCTGTAAGTCAAGTCTCAGGGGACCCAACAACCTCCTTAAGCCTCCATGGGCAATGCAACAACCATGATGTACAGATACCCATACACATAAAATAAAAATAAATAAATCTGTACAAATAAATTTTTAAAGTGTTTGAAAAGATGTGCCCTTTATGGATGAACCGTGCGTCCCCTAAAAGACATGGGTTATTAAAGGAAAATCAAGGCCAGGTATGAGATATCTCCCTACAAGTTTTTGGTTAACGAAACCACAGAGGCCATCAAACAACACAAGTTGTTGCCACTCTTCTCGGCTACCCACAGTAACTCAGGGCAAGACCCTGGTGCTGAAGACACTATGTACTTTGGGTATGCACACAGACAGATCAAGACTGAACTGAACTGAAAACTTCCTTGCTAGCTAGTTTTCAAGGTGCCAAAAGGAGCTACGCAGGCTCCTGGAGGGTAAAAGGCATGACTTCTGTGCACTGGACCCTGGGTAGCCTGCCTCTCCAGGGTGTGCTGCCCGCAGTGCAACAGTGACACAGTGCCTAGGAAGGGAACCCAGTACTTAGACCTGGATTTAAGGTCTGTTCCATAGGAAGGAATTCTTGCCTGACACTGGAACCCTGCTCAAAAGCCCATGGCTGGCGGGTCATGGGCCTCGCAGGGGAGGGGACGGGCACAGAGGGAGCATCTATTATTGTTTTGCTAAACAGGCAGTGTTGTCAGAGTTTCTTTTAAATATCTATACTTATAGGTATAGATTCACGCTGCCCTCAAGCTTGGTCAGAAGCTCCTTTCTACAGCAGACATCCGTAGACTATTCAAAGTGCTGAGGATAAGTGACTGTTGAGTGTCGGTCCTAAATGAGACACTAGCTCCATCTCAGAGGTTATCACAACAGAGGGGACAGAGAGACCCTAAGGGCTGTCTAGATGTGACATGCCAGTCACGTTCATGAACTCGGAGTAGCTGTGCCTAGCTGCGCGAGACCTGCACAAAGTCAATTAGGTCAATAACCCCAAAATGGATGGGTTAAAGAGATGGCTCATGGCTGCTATCCCAGAAGACCCAGGGTCAATTCCCAGTTGTGAACATGGCAGTATTGTATATAACACAAGTTCCAGGGAATCTGACCTCCTCAAACAGCTCCATGCATGGATTACACTGACATACACAGACAAAATGCCCATACGCATAAAATAAAAATAAATAAATCTTTAAAAAGTGCCGGGATTAAAGACATGTGCCACCTCTGCCCAGCTTAAAGACATTTCCACTAAAAAAGAGAGAGAGACTCAGACTATGGTGACACACGTTTTAATCCTAGCACTCAGGAGTCAGAGGCAAGTGGATCTCTGAGTTCAAGGCTAGCCTGGTCTACAGACAATCAAGCCTACACAGAGAAACCCTGTCTCAAAAGAACAAAGGGAAAACAAAACAAAACAAAACGAAATGAAATCCACATTAGAATAAGATTCTCCCATCTATAAGAATAAGATGTTGGGCGGGAGAGATGGCTCAGAGGTTAAGAGAACTGACTGTTGTTCCGGAGGTCCTGAGTTCAATTCCCAGCAACCGCATGATGGCTCATACCCATCTTTAATGAGATCTGGTGCCCAGAACACTATATACATAATAAATAAATTTTTTAAAAAAGAATAAGATGGTATAATATTTATTTCTGGCATATTTATGTGTGTGCTGTGCATGTATATACACAAATGTTTACATGCATGGAGATGTACATTTTATGTATGTGGGTGTACATGTATGCTCTTCCATCTGGAGGCCTGGAGTTGATGTCTTATGTCTTTCTCAATCACTCTTCAGTTTGTTTACTGAGGGGCAAGGTGTCTCCATGAAGCCAAAACTCCCCTTTGGCAGGTTTAGCTAGCCATCTTACCAGGGGATGGCACTGGCACGCTCACTCCCGAGTTGAGATACAGAGGGTTCTGGGACCACATACTCCGTCCTCACACTTGCACTGCGCTTACTCACCAAGCCATCTCCCAGCCCCTAGAAATCATGATGTTCTGAGAAACCACCCAGTTTAAGTGTAAAGAAAGCCACATGCCTTCCTTACTCCTCTCTCGCATGTGACAGTCTCTCTGTATCTTTACTTCTGAGACAATCCATTTCTGTGAAGACTGGATTAGTGACGACCATCGCCCACAGGCATGACAGATTGTGACTTCTCAGTAACAATCTTAAAATGACTCTCAGAATGCTAGAATGTGCTCCTTTAAAAAGTAGTTCAGACATAACAAACATGACTGGATCACGTAAGGCCAAGGACCAAAGGATAACAGCCGAGAGTTGTAGAAACCAAACTACCTAAAGAGCCTCGGTATACCTCAGTAGAGCAGGCGCGCCGGTCTTCTCCATGATGTAAGAAAGACAACAAAGCAGGTACTGTAGTCCAGTACCACACTAATAAACCTAATTTTTAAAAGAAAAATTATTTCTTTCTTTTGGTTTGTGTTTTGTATAGCTCAAGCTAACCTCAAACTCATGGCAATCCCCTGACCCCAGCACCCTGAATACCAGATGTTTGAATGGCAGTGGCCCCATAGGATCATATTTGAATGCGTGTCCCCAGGTGGTGGAACTGTTTGGGAAAGAGTATGTTTGGGAAAAAGTATGGCTTTGCTGGAGAAGGTGTTTCCCTGAGGGTGGGCTTTCAGGTTTCTAAAGCCCACAAAATGCGCAGTTAGCTCTCCTGCCTCCTGGCCCTTATCTCAATATGCAAGCTCCCAGCTACTGCTCCAGCACGCCTATCTGTCTGCTGCCCTGCTCCCACCATGATAATGGACTCAGCCTATGAAACCACAAGCAAACCCCCAATTAAAGGCTTTCTTTTAGGAGTTGACTTGGTCATGGTGTCTCTGCACAGTGACAGAACAGGGACTAAGACAGCAGAACCAGAGGCATGTGCCACTACACCTGGCTTAAAAATACATTTTTAATTACGGGTATTACCATACATCTTTTTCCTGGTGCAGGTGAGATACAGTATTACAGTCTTACTTTCTGCTTCCTTGATTACATCTCTTCATAAGGATATTTTTCATACCAATGTCTTCATTAAAAGACTGGTCATCAAGCCAGGCAGTGGTACATGCCTTTAACCCCAGTACTTGGGAGGCAGGGCCAGGCAGAATTCTATGAGTTTGAGTCCAGCTGAGTGTACAAAGAAAATTCCAGGGCAGCCAGAGTTGTTACACAGAAAAACCTTGTCTCAAAACACTAAAAAAAAAAATTTCATCCATGAATTCGAAGCCAACCTGGTCTACAAAGTGAGTTCCAAGACAGCCAGGGCTGTTACAAAGAAATCCTTTCTCAAGAAAAAAAAAAAAAAAATTAAATAAATACAACAAAAAACTCCGTGTAATCCCACCTCTGGGACCTGAATGCTCAACTCTGAAGGCCCTATACGGATGCAGTAAGCTAGTCCTGCTTCTGTCCAAGTCGCTCTCTGTCACAGTGAAGCTTCTGACAGCAAACAGCTTCTCAGGACAAGTTAATGTCTCTGTACTTCTCTCCATGTGCCCACAAGGTGACAATACCTCTGTTTTTAATGACAGTCCACTGTTAAAGAAGATCGTAGCGACAGCAATGTAGGACACAGTTATCTCTGGCTTCAGTGGTCCTACAAAGAGAGCAACGAGTCACTGTTAGAAAAGCACGTGCAGCAAATCAGTTGGTTTGAAAGAAGACTACTTTCAACATCAGTGTAGGACTTGTTCTGCTGGAAGCTTCACCCCAGCCGCTGGCATCCATATACCACAGTCTGGGATGTTTGGGTGGAAGCTCCACCCCAAACCCTCTCCCCATCTCTCTCCAAAACCTGCTGTATCTCAGAAAGCCCACCAAATGATGACCCCTCCTCCAGAGATTCTCAAGACTACGACCACGAGGTACTTAAACTGCCCCCCAGGAAACAGACATGTGGTCTGCCTGTCTTTCTTTCCTGTCTCCTCTCTGGGTGCTGGAAAATCACCCAGGAGTGTTTTATCCATTAAACCTGGGATTTTTCTAATTCAGTTTGATTTGGTCTGATTTGGATTGTTACATCGGTAAAGAGGCCCATCGGAGTACAGAAACTTTTCCCATTTTTCCCACTTGAGGCTTCTCCAGTGATATTGTTATGTCTAAAATGTTAACAGTGCCCAGGTGGAGAAGCTGGGGCATATAATATTTGGTTCCCCTGTACTTGTGTCCCTAAAAGGCATATCTACACTGTTTCTCTATCAATGTATCTGTGAGTGGGACCATATTTGAAAATAGAACTATACTAGAGGAAGTTTAGATGAGGTTTTACTGCAAGTGGGTAGTTATCCAACAACTACCTGTGTTTGCCTGTCTGCTTGTGTGCTTGCAGTACAGGGATGAACTCCAGGTCCCGCACATGCCAGGCAAGCACTGGCAGGTAGCCCCAGTGACTGACATTCTGAGAGGCATGTTTGTATGTAGACATACAATAAACACAGGGCAATGGCTGGAGTTACGATACCACATGTCAAGGAAGCCGAAGGTCCTTGTGAAAGAGGATTTTCCCCAGAGTCTGTGGATATCTGGCCTCGAGAACTGAGAGAATAAATTTCTGTCATTCTGATGTATTTCTTAGGCAATTTGCTGCTAGACTGGGTTTCCTTCAAGTCAAATTACATGATCACAATTATGGAGTCCCCAAAATCCTCTACCATATCTACTGATATTTGGGGGATATAGGTGGATGGATGACCAAACTGAAAGAAATCACTATTTATTCAAGTTGTTCAGCAAACACTTGTTAAGATATATCTTAGATATTTGTAGGACAGCATAAAATAAACAAAACGAAAATTCCCTCAAAAAATGTAATAAACTAATATGCCTGGCATTAATACAAAGCCTTCGGCTGAGACTTGGAAAGCAGAGCACAAAGGGGCAAGCATGAAAGGCCTTCCCCCAGCAGCACAAACATTTAAAGAGGCACACGGCCTTCAAAACTGCGAGTGTATCTGTCTCCATACTGTACAGGTACATACTTCAACAACTAAAGAGGTCCGTTGAGAAGCAGAATTTAAAGGCAAGAAAATTTAAAATTTAAATTTAATTTAAAACTAGACTGCTCCCAAAAATCTTAACTATCTGAATTTTTAACTCAAGCTTTTTTCACTCCCCACCCCGGCTCCCTCACTTTTTGTCAGTCCAGAGTGGCGCCTCCAGAATTTCTAGAGAGGAAGGGTCAGAGAGAATCAATGAGATGGTTACATGCAAAAACTAAAGCCAGGTCCAAAGACATTTATAAATAGGTAACATGTGGCATTCAATTCAGTGGACTAATCCTGAACCTTCAATGTTCCAAATTCAAGAGACAAGCCACACAGACTCTGGTTATACTACACACACATCTAAATAATTATAATCAAGAAATGGAGTGGGGCTATTCCAGGGCTACTTAACAATATACCTGTCAGGGAGAAGGGGGATTAGGGAGACCCAAGGCTCCTCAAACTCACAGAGATCCGCCTGCCTCTGCCTTCCAAGTGCTGGGATTAAAGGCGTGCACCACCACCACCCAGCTCATTCTTGACACACACAGCTGTAAGGCTAACAGGTGGTCCCAAGTAGGGAACTCTGCAGGACGAGAGGTCACCCAGGACAGAAATGAAAACTTGGCAAATCCTTAAACAGAGGAATGAACTGAAACTAGGATATAAATTTGTCCCTTTTTCAAGCTCAATTAGTTGGAGTTTTCCTCTGCTTTTACACAATTCAAATAATATTAGGAAGGAACTCCCACAATCAAAAGGAAAGTGAGCTACTAAGAAAATGAAGCCACTTTGAGTTAGAAAATCCAATCTTCTTATTTTGTTGTTGCTATTTGTTTTCTGAAACAAGGTCTTTCTATAGAGCCCAGGCTGTCCTGGAACTCACTATCTAGACCAGGCTGGCCTTGGCCTCCCTAACAGTGGAATTAATAGGGTAGGCCACCCTGCTTGACTCTTTCAGTCTTTTAAGGAAAAAAGAAACTCTTGTAAAGGTGACATTCCACAGAAGCCATTCCTCATCTATGGCGATCTCGCCCCAAGAAGATAATCTAAAATATCCTAAGATTGCAAGGTTTGGGTATATGCTTTCGGTCCTAGAAGATGGAAGGGTCTCTGTGAGAAGGCCAACCTAGACTGTATGTGTAGCTATCTAATGCTAGGTCAGCCAGGGCTACAATGTGAGATATCTCAAAAAAAAAAAAAAAACCAAATTAATTAAAATAAAAAATATTAATACTTAATATTTGTAGATAATATACTTCAACATATTTGGGCTTTTTTTTAATGTGTTTTGTTTTTCAAGACAGAGTTTCTCTGTGTATCTCCAGCTGTCCTCTAACTCACACAGATCCACCTACCTCCAGTTTATTTCCATTTTTCTAATGGAAAAGCAAACGCTCCCCCCAGGATTTACATTTCGTGAATAATTGAAGGCATAGGTAGAAAGGACAGTTTCCCTATGTAATTCCACAGAAGCACACCTAGCACATGGTTTCCCGGGTCATGCTGGAACACTAGCAGTGCCTCGGATCTACATAATCATGCCTCCAACCGGTCTCTTATTTTCAACCTTGTTCTGTTTTTTTGTTTGTTTGTTTGTTTTTGTTTTTGGGGGGGTGGGGGTGGGGGTTTCTCTGTATAGCTCTGGCTGTCCTGGAACTCACTTTGTAGACCAGGCTGCACTTGAACTCACAGGGATCCACCCAAGCACTGGAATAAAAGGCATGTACCACCACGCCCAGTTACTTCTATATTTTTAAGAAAATGTAACTAATTTAAAAAGCAAAAACTGAATGAAAAAAAGGAGGGTCTGGGAAAGGGAAGGAGGAGGCCATGTAGCTCAGGATATAATGAGTCTCAGCACAAAGTTGGCTTAACACAGCACCAGTAAAATAAAACAAACAGAATGACCAAAAGAACCTGTCTCAAAAAAAGAATAAAAAATACTATGAGAAATATTTCTCGTGACACATCTGCCCTTGCTCTTTAATTCCTGTTGGTGAGGGTGCAGCGCAAGTGGTGCTTGCTACTATTTTTGTCTTTTAAGGCTTTATAGGAAAGACCATCATCTGAAACGATCACAAAAAATAAAGCTCTCAACCTAACAACCAAACAGAAAAATCCCAATTGCTTGGCTCTTTTTAAGACAAGTAGTTTTAACACAGAAAGGTTCTAGAAGAAACACATGGTGTCTAATATTTAGCTGATTCTGTCTTGTTCATCTGGACTAAAAAGCAGAGAATAAAAACTGTCTTTATTCTATTATTCTATTTATTTATTCTATTAAAGATTATTTATCTTTAATAGTCTCTCTTTCTTTTCCAAAACCATTATTATAGATCTTTGCCATTGTTATGATAAAAGAGGAAGCCCCAGTCTCCATTCTCCATGCTACCTGGCTGGTGGGACACACACACACACACACACACACACACACACACACACACAAAACACAGACCTGAGGATGTGGTTCGGGGTACAACATAAGTTTAACAAGTATGTGCCAAGGTCCTGGGTTCACTCCCCAATATTCCAATCAAAAAATAAAGTGGCATGATGGTTTAAAATATAAGTTACTTATAGCTGAGAATATCCTGCTTCTACTTTATAATTGCTGAAAAAATATCATAAGGATTGTTGAAAAACTGAACATATTTTAAGACACGATAATGCACAAAAGTTCACTAAGCAGAGTACAACAGTACAAACAAGATCACAGAATCCATCCTGTATCTGCCAGATCAAGAAACCCCAAAGAACTGATCCAACCATTCCTCAACCGTCCTGCCCACATAGTATTCGGAAAATTCAAGGTAAAAGACACGTGGCAAGCCCAGCCCCTGCAGAGTTACCGGCCACACATCATCAGGAAAGGCCTCTCAACACCGAGCAAATAAAGCACGTAACCAGTACAGTGTGCACTGTGGGTCACTTCCAAGACTCTACAACTGCACTTCCCACAGCTCCAGAGACAAGAGGTTCTTTATTGGACAGAATTCAAAACCCCAAACTTCAGCTTCCCAAGAGCTCACAGAAAGGGTGTATCAAAACTAGCTCCACAGAGGCTGTGGATGTCTGAGTTCAAGGCCAGCCAGGGCTACACAGAGAACCCCTGTCTGGGGGAAAGGGGGAACCTAACTTGTAGTTTCAGAAGAATAAGTAATGGTGCTGTGGTCACAACTATGTACTCCATATGTTGCATTTAAATTTTAAAGTATGTAAATTTAAAAGGAAGAAAAATGAAATAATCAAGAGCTTTCCTATCCACAATCACTGTGTTAAGTAATTACATCCAAACGATCCAGAAGTTACTTCTAAATGGAGAAACTACGATGGGAGAAGAAGGAACCACTTACTATTCTGAGACACCATGAATTAACTTCCGGAAGGTTTTAACAACAAGAAGGTACAATTTCAAATACCCACATGGGCACTTCTTACTTAAAAACGATTAGGTGTGTTCTCTTCCATCCTTACTTGGACCCACTACATGATTTATGTATTCTACCTGTCAACAAACTTGGGATCTAACACACAAGGTCAAAAACACAAATGAACTGAAGAAATTCAATTAATGTGTATGGAAAGCAGGACAAGGGTGCCTGAAAGTGGAGGAGAGGGTAAAAAAGGCCAATGACACTTGCCCTGTCCCCACAGTGTCCTCAGACCACATACAAAGCTGGTCATTGTATTCCGGGATTTGAGTGGGGTTTTAATCCATCCACACTTCCTTGTCAAAACATACAGTGCCCATAGCCTAACACAGTCTGCATCTGTTAACCGCTGAAGTAGCAACTGAATCCTAGCAGCACACGGAAGTGGAGTGCCCTGTGGAGTGCAACGTGTCAGTCGGCTTGGGAGTTTTGGAGCGTCAGCAACTAAGGCACGACCGCTCCCCATCATATGAACCAGAAAATCAAAGTTTGGGGAAAAGAGTGTCGTTTCTTTCCCACCCCCTTTATTTTTTTTCTTTCTCCTTTTTTTTTTTTTAAAGGTGCATAAAGGGAGGAGTCGGAAATAGACTTGATAATGAGGTGCATTCCGGGACAGATAAGGACTCCTGGCACCCTAAAGTCCCTTGGGATGGGATGCTACTCTGCAAGCATGAGGTGTAAGTTTCATTTTCTGCAGCCTCACTCCCGGTACTAAGCAGAAGTCATTGATTGCCCGCAGAAAAGGCACCCTGTACTCCAAGTCCTCTGCCCCATTCCTGGTCCCCTTCGGGGTTAGCAAGTGAGAACCACCTGCAAAGGCACGGCGTAGTTGTGACGGTCGGGGCGGAGAAGGGCAGCAGTCCTACCGCACCAGGGCGGCCGCTCCTCCCGCAGACTCGCCGAGGAGTTGTGGAGCGGCGCAGCGGGCAGAGGTGCGGCACTTACCCCCGTTCACTCCGACCGACGGCTCCAGCTTAGCGGCGCCGATCGCCACCACTATGCCGACCATGAACCATTCTTTTCTCGCCCTCTCCAGCAGCCTCATATTTGTTAGGGTGGGTGGGTTTTGTTTATTTGTTTGGCTGGCTTGCTTTCCAAGCTGCGATTCTCGAATCCCCGGGGCGTCTCCACGCTTTCCTCGGTGCCTCCAGACATGCAGCAGAGCAAGTCAAATTGCCACTCGTAAACTAAAGACCGGAGGGGTGGCTCGGGCGGCTCCGAGGCGGGCTGGGAGTAGTAGTATCCAGTGACAGGAAAGCCTCACTGAGCGCCGCCATCACTACCACGCGCCTCCGAATAGACGCGCACACGGGCGGAGGACTCCGGGATCCGGGGGACGTAGAACGGGGGCACGCCCGAAGACCGAGGAGGAAAGAAGGGAGACCAGTCACCGGTTGCACTAGCAGGACCCGCTGCCATGCATCCGTGGTCAAGCTTGGGGAGGCCCACGGCGGGGAAGCGGGATGTGGCGCCCCAGATGCCCTGCCTCCTCGTGCTGTAGCCGCAGGAAACTGACGGCCTCCCGAGCCCCGGGGCCTGCATCGCAGAGAGCTTCTCTCGCTCCGCCCTGAGCCCGAGGGGCGCGCGCTGTGCGCCTGAGGGTACCGGGCTCCGCTGCCGCTGCGGCTGCGCGCGCGGGCGCCGGAGGTTCCGGTGCGCTCGTTCTCGGCGCATTACGACGACGGCCGACGTCGCGTTGACGTTGCGCGGGGGGGGAGGGGAAGCCACTCGCGGCCTCTGGTTCTCGGCGGGAGCGGCGGCGGCAGACGCGTGTGGCGACCGGCGCGGGAAAGCGGCTTCCTAGTTGGGGAAGCGTTAGCCCCGGGGGTAGGTTGAAAATTGGTGGCCGAGCAGACGTCCGGGACGGCAGGCCCCCCGCCTTTCCGCAGCGGCGGCGGCGGGAAGGCGGGGAAGGCGGGTCGGGCCTTCCCGCCAGGTCGGTGGCCTGCCCGGGCCTTTCTGCCCGACCGCCTTCCCGGCCAAAACCCGCCCCGGGTGTGGGGAGGACGGCCGGGATGGGGCAAATCTTCCCTGGGGGGGCGGTGAGAGAGCGGCCCAGGCTCCTCCCCACCCGTGTGCTGCGCGTGGGCGGGCGATTCCGAAGGCCGCGTGGTGCGGGCCTTTGCCTGACCCCGGAGCTGAACCACTAAAGCAACAGGACGACTGAGGGGGCCGGGAACGCAGAACAAAAGCAGTGAGGGTCGAGACCCAGGGTGGAGGTTCTGATGTCCGCCCCCCCCCTCCGGTTTCTTGCTTTGCATTCTGGCGACCTATGGCATAGTTTCACGAATGGTCTTCCGAGCATCTACCCTTCCTCTTTATGCACCCAAAGAAAGAAAGGAACAAAGTATTGTGGGACATTTTGAAGCAGCCTGGTATCAGCTACTTGAATAGTTTACTATGGAACGTAACGTTCGAAAGAAATTGTACCAGACTTTCATTTTGGATGCATTCAAAGCTTGAAAGAGACTCGGCTTCAATTTGCTCTATTTAACTTACCTTGCTGACATGACTCGCTATCCAAAAACTAAACTGCTTTAAGCAGTTGTGCTATCGGTTCCCAGTTGCACAGCCCCCACTGTGGGGTAATTATACATCAGGCAGCACGAAGAAAAGCTAATCTCAAGATAAAACAACTTAATAGGGAGTCGTTAAACAATTTACCAGGCAAAAGAAGTACATGAAATGTGATAAAAGCTTATTAGAAGTCAGGCACAAGGTAAGTGGAGTTTTAGGAAGGAAAATTTACAGCAATTATTTTACAGTCATTTTCTGGGTTCAGAAAAAAAAAACTGCCTCAAATTAAAAGGCCATCACAGAGATGGTGCTGGCTTCAGTAAGCCTGCTCACAAGTTCTTTCTAGAGACTTTGATCTGCTTAAAGCAAAGTTGTAATTCATGGAAGAATATTTTAACGGTAGTTCGTTGAGAATTGTATTGTTAAGGACTGTATTAGTTTGCTAGGGCTGCTATAACAAATACCCACCCCACCCCCAAAAAAACTGCATGTACCCAGACAATAGACATTTGTTATTTTCCTGTTGCAGAGTCTAAAGTGGAGGTGTCGGAGGGCCTTGTGTTCTGAGGGCCCTTTCCAGCTTCTTGTGGCAGTTGGCATTCCCTGGCTTCCTTGCTTTAATGTTGTGAAGCTCCAGTCCCTCCTGGTTTGGCATTACATTCCCCTGCATATGTCTCCAGTGGCTGCATCATTCACTCTGCATCCATCGCCAACATTGCCGGGTTTTTTTTTTTATTTTTTATTTTTTTTGGTATGTCTATTACAGTGACTCTTGTCCTTGGGTTAGAACCTGCCCAGTAATCCAAAATGATGGATCAGATTCCTTTAAATTATATGAGCATATATCCTTTCTCCAAATTAAGTTCACTGTTCAGTAATGTACCCTGTAAAAAGTATGTCTTCCTGGACCTCAGAGTTTGACTTCTTTTAGAAATGAGATGTTTGTAGGTACCTAAGAAGAGGTTATACTAGATTCAGGCAGGTCCCAAATCTAATGACTACTGTCCTTTTAAGAAGGAATGCATGAGAGGCAGGTGGAGTGTAAGCACTATGTAAAGATGAAAGCAGAAACTGGCTTGAGATTTGTAAGGCAAGACATCCTAAGAATTGCTGGCAACCACTAGAAGCTAGGAGAGGAATGGTACAGATTTTTGTTCAGGCTTCTGATAGGAACCTCCCCTTCATACTCAATGACTTCCTGAACTATAAGAAAATCGATATTTTTAATCCCTTCCCCCATTTACAGTGCATTGTTACAGCAGCCTGAGGAAACTAATACAAAAATATTGACAGGTGCTCATGTGCAGTAGTCCTAGTGGCTTTTCTGTTTTCTTCTGAGACCCAGCAGCTGTCACCGGTGAGCTACTTGGCCCTTCAACAAGCTTCTAGGAGCTTGAGACCTTCATAGTCCCCTCCAACTCTCAGCTGGAAGGAAAGATGGTTGAAGCAGATCGTCCAGGGAAGCTCTTCATTGGTGGGCTCAATACAGAAACAAATGAGAAAGCCCTTGAAGCAGTGTTTGGCAAGTATGGACGAATAGTGGAAATACTTTTGATGAAAGACCGTGAAACCAACAAATCAAGAGGATTTGCTTTTGTCACCTTCGAAAGCCCAGCAGATGCTAAAGATGCAGCTAGAGATATGAATGGAAAGTCCTTGGATGGAAAAGCCATCAAGGTGGAGCAAGCTACCAAACCATCATTTGAAAGTGGCAGACGTGGACCACCTCCACCTCCAAGAAGCAGAGGCCCTCCCAGAGGTCTTCGAGGAGGAAGTGGAGGAACTAGGGGACCCCCTTCTCGTGGAGGATACATGGATGATGGTGGTTATTCCATGAACTTTAATATGAGTTCTTCCAGGGGACCACTTCCAGTAAAAAGAGGACCACCACCACGAAGCGGGGGACCCCCTCCTAAAAGATCAACGCCTTCAGGACCAGTTCGAAGCAGCAGTGGAATGGGAGGAAGAGCCCCAGTGTCACGTGGAAGAGATAGCTATGGAGGCCCTCCACGAAGGGAACCCCTGCCATCTCGAAGAGATGTTTATTTGTCCCCAAGAGATGATGGATATTCTACAAAAGACAGCTATTCAAGCAGAGATTATCCAAGCTCCCGTGACACCAGAGATTATGCGCCGCCACCAAGAGATTACACATACCGCGATTATAGTCATTCCAGTTCACGTGACGACTACCCATCAAGAGGCTATGGTGATAGAGATGGATACGGTCGGGATCGTGACTATTCAGATCATCCAAGTGGAGGTTCCTACAGAGATTCATATGAGAGTTACGGTAATTCGCGCAGTGCACCCCCTACACGAGGGCCGCCGCCATCTTATGGAGGAAGCAGTCGCTATGATGATTACAGCAGCTCACGTGATGGCTATGGTGGAAGTCGAGACAGTTACTCAAGCAGCAGAAGTGATCTCTACTCAAGTGGCCGTGATCGTGTTGGCAGACAAGAACGGGGGCTCCCCCCTTCTATGGAAAGGGGGTACCCTCCTCCACGTGATTCCTACAGCAGTTCAAGCCGTGGAGCACCAAGAGGAGGTGGCCGTGGAGGAAGCCGATCTGATAGAGGGGGAGGCAGAAGCAGATACTAGGAACAAACAAGACTTTGGATCAAGGTCTCCAAAAAAACAAAAGATGGAAAGTCTTCTGTCGGAACTACCCAAGGACTACTAAGAAAAGTTGTGTTACCTTTTTAAATTTTTCTGTTTTAAGTTCCCCTTCATCATTTTTGTGTTCTTGTGAGGATAAAAGTAAAACATGATTAATTTTGATATTATGAATTGCTTTCAACAGCAAATGTTAAATGTGTAAGACTTGACTTGTACTAGTGTTGTAATTTTCCAAGTAAAAGTGTCCCTAAAGGCAATTTCCTGTCTTGATTTTTTTTTCCACCCCCCCCCCCTCGTCCCCAGTAAATGAGGTGAGCAATTCTAAGATCTATGAGAGACCATCTAGATAGCCTTTGGTCTCTGGAGAATTGAGTCTGTCTGCCTATACAGACAAGCTAACAGGGGCAATAGAGGGTGTTGGTGGTGTGCTACTCTTAGGTACTTGGGGTGTCTTCTGACTTAAGTCTAAAAAACAAGAAAGCTTAAAGCTGACTGGTTTGTTTGTTTTTTGGCAATTTATTTGGGAATCAGAACCTCCCATTTCACCCCCCCCCCACACACACACCCCGCTTTTTGACACAGGGTTTATCTCTGTAGCCTTGGCCAACCTGGAACTCTAGACCAGGCTGACCTTGAACTCAAAGATCCACAGCTTCCACCTCCTGAATGCTGGGATTAAAGGTGTGCTACCCCACTCCAATTCCCTTTTAGGTGTGTGTGAGTTTGTGTGCATGAAGTGTGTGCATAGGTTCCAATGGAGACTAAGACGGAGAATGGGATTTGACTCTAGCACCGCCTGGCTTCTAACAGTGCTCCTACCACATCTCCCCAGGGCTGGATTTTAGGTGTGCTGTCACTCCAGGCTACCATTTTTTTCTGAGTCTTTTCTGTTGCACTCATTGTCTCATCTTTCAGGCAGAAACAGACACAAAAGCAGAAAGGCAAGATGGGTTGTAAGTATTTACTTGGTAAATATTCTTTTGGTCCCTTATAGCAAAATACCTCTGATATGGAACCCAGCTGGTAGAATGTTTACCTAACATACATGACACCTTGGGTTTAGTTACCAGCAGCATATTGTGAACTGAGTATGTTGTGACCCTAGTACTTGGG